GCCCTGATAATCCTTCCTTTGCTATCAGTCCCCCTCTGTAGAACTATAATTTTCTCTAACGATACTTACGGACCCATCGTCCTTGAGTGACCACGACTAATTCGCTGTTTGTGGATTCTAATCTTAACTACTACCTGTAAATTGTTACACGATGTGCATCCACTAGTCAACGACGTCCCGGTACGGCGGCCAGTTTCAAGGGAAGCTAGCTAAAGTCATTTTGTTTAATTTGTTTCGGTGTAAATATATATTTATTATACTTGAATGTCGTAATTCAGTATGAAATATTTTTATTTTTAATTATAGTATACGCCATTGTTATTCATAGCCTTCTGCCATTTGGGGTGCTTTACTTCTTTCGCTGCTTAAGAAACTATGTGTAAGGTCTTCAAAGGAAATTTCCATGCTGTGTTGATAGTTAAAAAAAAAAAGACTAATTTCGAAAAAAAAACTGATTTACTGCATCAGTACCTGTTGAGTCTGATGGATGACGGGGGACATTCAACAGTTGATCCTATATGTTCTACATCGTTTTGTTTTTATTTAATGATTTTCTAGAATTCTTAGTTACTTACCCTATGCGAACGAGCTTTCTAAATAACCTTCTTAAACTAGGACTAACTGAGCTCGATCTTGCTAGATTGATCTAACGCTATTCCAAAACACCTATGGAACACCATGGCAACCACACAAGCATCTACTAACCTTAATAGCAATCCCTTATCCTTTTTAAATCGCTTATTTTTTCTCATTATTAATTTCTGATAGGTATTTTCGCCAAAGCAAAGATCTGAGTCAGCCTAGTAGCATGTTTGCCAGTTAAGGCTACTGTCCTAACATATTCAAAAAGATGCGCTATCAGGCATCTAGGCCATGCCACCTCCTAAATGAATCTCCCGTTGCGGAACAGTAAAGGTGACCTATCCATGTTCACGAATCTTTGGAGCTAAACGCAGAGTTTTTTCCGTCATATCCTCACAGTACATTTCAGTCATCATTGATGAACCAGAACTCATCAATCTGTAGGAAATAGCATAATGAAGACCTCTATGGTAGCAAGATTACTCAAAAAATGGAAGCAGGTCATTTTTTTCTCAAAATGGCGCACGATATTTTTGTAGAAAATAAAAAATACCTGCGTCAGTCTTAGCCTAGAAAACTTTTTGAATACTCGCAATTTACCTACATCGACTTCTTCAATCTCTTGAATGTTAAACACTTATATACATTCGCGTATGTTCAGTGACAACATCAATGCAGCAACGTATTAGTTCATCCATTATAGTGTGTCTACTTTTAAATAATTTCCCATTTTATTAGTCTAGGAAAAAGATAACAAAAGAATGCTATTCATGTGCTGCTCATCCTATAGCTATTGTTTCTCCAACTTTTATCATTTTCATAGAATCATTCATTTTTTCTACGGAACATGTACATATTTGCATGCCTGCATATACGTCGGATGCAAGAGAAAAGATCGAAGCAAAGGAATAACGTCAACAAAAAATTACGCTCCTACCATACCAGACACCCCGTGACGGAGCACCGCACGTCCTAGTGTCTACCTAGCCCGCACATTTTCCCGACGCGTCAGCTGCGCTTCATAAGATCGCCGAAGTAATGTTGGTTCATCGTATCCGTACGCATTGGCATTAACTGCGCGAATCGATTTTTCTCACACTGCTAGATTTCGGTGCATCGTTCGTTCCCTGACGTTTCTTGGCGTTCCTACACAGCTCCAAGTCGCAACGGGATGTCAGCGGTATTCGTAAGTAATTTTCTACCTGTTGTGCTGTACTAACGCTTGGCCTCACAGGCTCGCAAAGAACATTAACTGATATGCTTCCTCCTAAGATGTACCGTTCGCTTCCGTGTATCCGCGCTGTAGCCTTATTAAAACACATCCCTCCGCTGGGGCGCTGCCGATTACCCGCATTTTCGTCCCACTTGCTAAGTTCACTGGGGGATAACAAACATGCTATCCTAGTTCCCTATACTGTTTGCTACGGCTGCATGGTCCAGCGTATAGACCGCCCGTATATATCCATACGAGCGTTTTTGCCGAAGCAGAAGGTCGAAGCTGCATCGGCTTCTGCAATGCAGAAAGGTCATTGAAATAGGGTCCTCAGTTAAAGGTTTAGTCGTCAAATGCCTAAATAGATGAAAGATTCATAGCCGTTACCCTGGAAGGAACGGTGACGTACGATAGTGAACAGCTGTGGCTTCGGTGTAAGCGCTGACCGGCGGGATTCGACCGATTTAGCGCTTAGCGATGCTAAACGCTTGTGTACTACCGCGCCCTATCTGAAAGGTGAGCAACTGCGGCTAAGCAGAGGCGTGGTAAATGTCACGCGAATCTCGCTATGACTGTACTATGATTTCATTCACACTTCCGGCTGATGTTGATCACTATCGATGCGGCGGAGTGTCGGGTCCCGTAGTTTGTACCCCAACGATGATTCTATGTGCTTTAACTTTATTGAGGTCCAATAATAATAAAATCATTAGGTGCTCGATAATGATCGAGTAAATGGGATATGATATTCGATTACTTTAGCCAGAATCTTTAATTGATTGTCCAAAGGCAAACAGTCAAGAACTGTATTTATCCTTCTGCGGCTTTATTGAAATATCAGTCGAATATTTTGACGAAACAGCGCTACTTAACAAAGCAGGCCAAATTCTACCAATCAGGACTCTGGTTAGCATGCCGATGACCGGGACGCTATGCTTTTTTGAGATAGGTAGCCTCTGGCCACAGACCGCTTTTAGTTTCGATAGTGTCACATAAGTACTACACGTATTGTAGTAGATTGAGAAGAAAGCAGATTTGCCATATATAGCATCGCAATCATATAACAGGCAGAAGGAGAAGTCCTCGGCAGAATGAGTAAGGCGTGACTCAAACATGTCCATTGCCGACTGTTTCCCGCCTTGACAACTTAAGAACGGCGAAGACCAAGTCGATATCCGGCTTGGTTTTGTTTACCTCTTAGCAAGTGGCTTTCAAAATCCATTGGGCAAGTTCTGGCCTGGCAACTGCGAGGACCCCTCCGAAGTTCCGGAGCACATTTCAGCTCGCACGAAACATGGCCATTACGAGCTGTGGAAGAAGTCAAAGAAGAAGCAGTTACACGAAAAAGCGGACAATTTCCAGCTGAAATCATCTTTAACTCTTAAATAGTATCGTCGTCGTCTTACATGATGCAAGTAACTTACAACGTTCCTGTCGCTGTTTTTTCCTAACAACATTTAGTTTATGGCTGAAGTCGAAGTATATCCAAGCAGCGCCATCGAACGAGCCACTTGAGTTGGTAGCAGCAGTATGGCTTGCACGATGATACCAAGTTGTACCGAGAACTTTGTTCTAATGTGTTTCCTGTGCGTGTTTATGCTGTGAACACATGACAGGGCATTTCGTATCTGGCTGAGTACTATTTGAATATATTTAAAAGTTAAACTTCTTACGAGAATCGTTGAAAAACAGTGAAAAATATGTCAGATTAACATGTGAGATTATGTGAATAATATATACGTATGTAGAGGGTAAAGGAAAAATCTAAAGTATTACCTAGCAAACTTTGGAAACTCCACTTATTTCCATTTGCAATTCAGGTATGCTGCAAGCAGAAAACAGAGTGAAAATAGAAAGAAAAATTTTAATTATAAAACTTTTTGAGGCATTATACTACCCACCCAAGAGCACTTCACTGTTCAACGTGGTCTCAAGCATGTTACTTGTTCTTCACTAATCCATCTACATCAAGCTTTATATGGTTTTATGTTAGGCATGCTGTCCCGTTCTCAACAACTAGTCGTTCGCAGTTTAGCAAAATACTATTGAGAGGGCTCTAATTGGCCCTATTTCGGCCCGAATCGTTCCGATAACGCCTATTCAGATGACTCTCTCTGACGATCTTTTGTGGTCACTTTACGCCTTGTCGACAACTCGGATCCCGGAAAAAAAGTGGATGGATGGAAACAGCAGCTAAGTTCTTCAGGGCTCCCATCGCATCAATAGCTCTGCTCGAAAGAAGGACTACGACACTCATGAAAGTCTACTTCAGTGTTATGGGATATGCGGACTATAATCGTAGATTCTACAAAAAAGTTCACATCTTTCCTGTTTATGTGCACCCATTCAATAAGGCTGTGATCCGTGAGCCTGAAGCCGATTGATCTATTGTTGATCTCATTGTTAGGATGCGCAGTAGATGCGATAAATCTAACGTTATTTATTGCGTTTTGTTGCAAACCTCAAAACCAGATGACTTCGAATTTGCTGATATGAGTAACCATCAGCTCAGATCGTATGGTTATAGATTGTCACAAGATTATGCCATACCCTTCTGAGCGTTTATTTCATATATTTAAAACGATAATTTTGGATCATATAGTAACTATCATAGGTAAACGAGCACAAAACAGAATCTGCATTGAATTAATTAAAGGTCGATTACGTAACGCATGCGCTGCAATGTTTTCAAGTCGAACGCGATACTCTCAATGCGACGATTCTGTCCCGTACAGCGCTCTACCCGCCACTCTGGTGAAGTACACCTCTCAAAGGGTCGCCGTTTACCTCATACAGTTTTGTCCAGACCTGCTATATATATATATATATGTATGTATATATATATATATATATGTATATATGTGTGTATATATATATATATATGTATGTATATATATATTTCAAAATGGATTGTAACTCAGTCAGATTGTGTATTACCGACGTATTCTGTTATTTTACGTATATCTCAACCTGTAAATGAGCTTGCTCTATATCTATTAATCTTTGGGTCGCTGCTGCGAATCGACGCAAATAAACGAAACTCTTATTGCTATTATATGATTTTGTTAGACGTTGGTACAAGGAAGGATAATGTTATGCCAATTGCCGATCTGACAGTGAAGTTCAAAATAAAAACACTTATATGGTTACTGTTGAGCATAAACTTTGAAGATTTATTAATATAGTAACGTTCACTCTCCAGCGCCATGTTGATCTCATCAATTTCCGATCGCCATTTTCATCAATCGCACAGTGTTTATTATTTTCATTAGTTTTTTTTTTCATTTTCCTGTTTGGTATCGTATATACAGTGTATCTCTTCCTATTCCATGCGTATATCGTCGCGTTCTAACAGACGACATCCCATGACGTTATAACTTGTGTACAGAAACAAAGGACACGAACACGGGAAAACGCAGTTCTATACTGCGCCCCAGTCAGACAGTTACTTTTCATTTACAACACTTTTATTATATCTGTATAGAATTAATCGTCTACCTAAAGTAAATACGTTAATAAATAGCTCGCTAATGTTTTCCGCGACAAAGTAACGTTTGTGTGAAATTGAATAACCGTTCTAAAGATCTTTCTCTTTTTTTTTTTTTTTTTTTTTGTCTATAGTAATACACAAATCACTGGCAAAGCTTACAAGCACAGACGCTCGCATAATCGTCGTTTGTATGCTGTCGACCACCGATTAGAGCTATTCTAACATGAACGTCTCGGATAGTGTATTCTATAGCTTACGTGTACTAAAAATATATATATATATATACATCTACATATATTGCACTTGTTTTGCTTTGTGCTGAGCTTCATGTCAACGTATGATTCAGAGATGAGGTAACATAAAGTTGGAATCATCGTTATGAAACCTCAAGTGCTAGGGTAGTAGATGAGGAAAACTTTTAACAGTTGAATTTCATTGAAGCTAGGATCTAATCAATGAAAATAGTTGCACTCATCATATTCTACCATTGTTCGACGAAAAGTGAAGTTGGCCCGTCGTCACTGGTTGCTAAAGAGTGCATTTTTCATGGGGCATCATTATGTCTGCCATCAGGCAGCTGGATCACGGTATCTCGTTGGTTTGGCTCTTTTCACCTTTTCCCACGATACCATTACTATTTAATCCTCCAGATGCCTGCTGCTCCCCGCTAACACTCACTTTGTTTGGCTGCCCTTTATACAGATCGTCTTTTCTCTCTGATAATTTCGTCCGGTTACGTTAGAATAGGCCTGATACTTTGGCCAACCTATTTTTAGTACGCTCTTTTGTTTCAGCGTAATTATTCACTGGTATCACTTTTTCAATACTACTCATTATAGCACTATAATGTTGTCATTCTTGTTAACGACCAGAGTACATCTCTACTTCTCGGAGCCATCATTAACGTTGCCACTGGCCTAAAATTCTAAAACGATGATACTTTCTTCCACCTCGTCTGCGTCCGCACACCACACACAGTATATCCCCTGCATCTAGCCAGCCACATTTCGACTTTTCCTTTGTACAGATCACAGATGCTGAGTGACGTCGCTACAATCGCTTCGACTACAATTGGCGGCACCCTCTTCGTTTTCAATTCTCCTTAAAGGTTTTCTTGTGTGTCCTGGTCTGCTTAGCCAGATGCAATTCCTTTGTGTTTATTTTCGATTGTATGCGGTCTATTGTTTGTAAGTCTTCAAAGCAAACATGAAAATTTCTAGATTGGGCTACGAATGTGTATGCGGCTGTGGCTTGTTTTTTGTTGTGTACTTACACTCGACGTGCAAAGATCGTCCAGCGTCCGTGGATTTCCATATGGGTGTTATAACGAGCACGTCCATTAGGGCTTTGACCAGCAAAGTACGCCAATTACTCATTATATGGATTATTGCTGTCCATATTGATATATGGTGCAGCTATTAACCGTACAGTTAATATCTGCTATCCGGCTGTTGTGATGATGCAAATGACGGAAGCATAAAACGGATTCCATTTGTCGTACTTTGTTTTTCTTTTTTCGTTTTAAAAAACATTTGACCGTTTTTAAACGTGCACCCTTTCGTGTATAGCAGCACATCGTAATATGGCCAATCTCCTTCAAATTGTTGCGGATGCAGTTTATGTTAAGTGGTGTCGTTTTAACACTATTCATTCGACCGCGTCGTGGCATGCTGGCGTCTGTCGTGCATTTGTTTTGTCCCATGTAGGTCTTCTCTTGATCCTTTCGCTTTCTATTACAACAACTCTGTACAAACACGCCCCCTTCTGGAACCTACTTATTTACACTACGTGTGCGGTCCGTCATCGGTTTCATAGTCTCTTTCGTCCCCAAGTCCCTCATCAGGACTGTCCCGTAATTCCCCACGAAGGTCGAGGTGAAACGCGGGATTGGCTTGTGCATGAGCTAGCTGCATCTCACCCGTTGCAAAACCACAGGCAACGTTTTTTCCCCCTAGTCCAACCACCGGAGTCGAACCTGTCCCGCCCCCGCTTCCATGCACTATCCTCGCACTGACCGTCCCATTAGATCTCGCCTTTAGCGCGGCCACATGAAGAAAATCCTTGCTGCTTTTGGCACTGGTTGCTTCCTTTGGGGCAGGGGGTGGCGGTACGTGGTCTTCAAGGTCTTCACTTAAGGGCCTTGGCTGATGCGGCGACAGCTGTTGGTGCTGAGGTTGTTGTTGAACGGTACCGCCGGAGCCCATTGTCATCATTTGCGACTGCCGATTGCGCAAGTTGAGGTTCTCAATCACGCGATTGGCAATTTTTTCTTCGAGCTCGAAAGCGATGGCGTTTACGAGGCTCGCATTGTTCTTTTCGAAAGTAGAGTATGCTTGCTTCGCTGAACCGTTTGTGGCATCATTACAGCTACTGCTGCCGCCGGCCTCAGCGCATACGTTAAAATTATCCTTGGATCCTGATGAATTACTGCATGGAGTTCTTACCGTATTGGAAACCATTTGTGTCGCAGATGGTACAGTGGAGGGGCTGTCTGTCGTCAAAGCAATGTTTTGTTTTGTTCTCGTCGGTAGAATGGTCGTTGCTTGCGGCTTTTGGCAGTCAGTCGTTGCTGTGTAAAACGTTTGCTGTAGAAAGCCATTGGTACCGCCTGCCATCGAAAGCCCGCCCAGAGGTAATTGGTTAACCTTGTTGTTTGAAGAGCTGCCACCGTCATTGTCGCCCGAGTTGTGAGGCCGTTCCGGCGGCGTTCGCACCTCGGTAAAGGGGGCAGCACCATTGTTGGTCGAATTTACGAGATCAACGCCGACGTGGCCGTTGTTTTTCGTTAGACTTACGACAGTTTCATAGCTGGGCTTTGCGCATGAAGGGATTTTGACACCATTGTTTTTCCCACTTTTTTCCTTCAGCGTTTGACCCCTGTCCGGGGTGCCCTTGAGAGTGTGGTCTGCATGGTCGTCAAGCGCACTTCCTGACGAAGCGGCCCTCTGTTGGCAATAGCTTTGGTACTGTTGCATCACCATATATACGGCGCCAACAAGGACAACCAGTGTCAACAGAAAGCCTAGGACGACACCTCCGATTTCCGCGGACGTCAAGGGGCCGAACTCTTCGCGGGGATATATGTGTAGCGTGGCATGGCCTGATACATTGCCAGCCCGATTGGTCGCCACGCAAGTATAACTACCGCTGTCCTTGACAAAAGCATTGACAATCGTGAGGACGCTGGTTTTCACCCGGCTAAGGGACACCTCCTCGCGGATTATGTAAAGCTGACGACCGAATGAAATTAATGACATATTTCGTATCGGTCGACCATTGAAAGCCCAACTAATTGCGGTGCTCGAAGGGGGCTGCGCTTCAACTTCACACCGAAGTGTGGCATTCTCAGCTTCGACAGCGGCCGCCACAGAATCGATTGCCGCGAGTTCTGGTGCGCATGCAAAGTCTGCCAACTCCAGGGCCTGCCAAGAGACACCTATAAAAAAAAAAACAAATTAACATTAAAAGGTAATTTTTTAAGCAAGATCATCCAAAAATCTCTGTGTCTGCCACAACGCTTTTTAGCTGCTTGAGTGTGTATCAAGTGTGTGAAGATAAACTATAGTGTATTATATTTATATACAGTAAAATCATAAATCTATTAGGTTAGATCTAAAGCGATACAAAATTCAAATCATATAATTATAGCATTTTCCAATTTTTTTATACAGAGGGACTTGCCGATATCTTGGATACCTTGAAGTCGATGTGGGTGGGCGCATTTAGGAGGAGCCGATAATGGAATATTGTTTTCCTCCATCCATTGACGAACCTGACGCATTTCACAGTCACACGTCCATGGATTTTCCTGAAGAGGGAAAGTATTACAGCCATCAGAAGGATGCTCTAACGGCACCTAACGTGGCAAAATTTGCAATTAAAAAGTACAAAACAAAAACTATGTAGCTAGTCTTACTTTTCTTCGTATTCATTTTTCGTCGGTGCTTAGGAAAACGCTAGCATAACTTTATGCAAGTAACTTCATTTAAACCCTTAAATAGATTTATATTAATATTTACTACAAATATAGAAGGGTCTTAAAAGGAATGTATATGTACCGCTTGTCCTTGTTCACGTATTATGCTATGAAGAACTACAACAGTTTGAAAAAAAGAACATCTTTATGAAAGGAAATAAGGGCCATTAGCTAAGTCGATACCACATAACACTCACTTCCAAATTAACACCATACAGCTGTGGCGGAAGGTGCTCGATAAGTGCATTTGGAGGGACCCTCTTGAGCAGATTATGTGCCATTCGTAGAAATTCTAGAGATCGCAGGCCTCGAAAGGCGAGGCTCTCGACGACCGTCAAGCGGCAGAAATTGAGCTCGAGTGTTCCCAGACGCGACAAGCCCTGAAATAATGAGTGCTTCAAGTTACTAAGCGTAACTTCTTAGGTTTAGTGTTCATTATAATTTCTTTACTGTGTGCGTGTAGTACGACTTTCGTTCAAAACACCGGCAATAACTGTTTTGAACAACGGATCTTTCATTTTCTTATCATAAAATGTTTCACTCTGGAACGAATAGACAGTAACATTCCGTCGGATTAGGGATTTTCTGACGTTTAATAGAAGATTGACTTATCGTTTACAACTATTCATATTTGTTTTCATAATCATTTCATCAGAACCAGTTATTTTGGGGATTGGAGAAACAATAATAAGCTTACCCTGAACGCATCGTCATGAATCGTTTCGATGGGATTGAAGCTAAGGGAGAGTCGGCGTAGAGAGCCGCAATCCGAGAGAGCACTACTTGGCACCCGATGTAACTTATTCGAGCTAAGGTCCAACTCAACGAGATTCGTCAGCAGATGAAATGCTGATGGGGCAATCATGGATAGGCCACATCGAGCAACGTGGATTCGTTGCAGGTTCGAATAGCCTTTAGCGTGAAACTCACGTGGACCAAGAAACGAAATGGTATTATTTGACAGATTCAGGACCTGAAAGTGATGCAAACACGAATCGCCAGTATATCAAACAACAAATTTAAATTGACATATAAGTGAGTCGGAAGTACACTTGCTTACACATCGCATCACTAACAAAGCACAATGATTACAGCCAGCCTGCTGGAACTCTTGCTAGTAACAACATACTCGTATTAAGCATACCGTAACTATAATTACGTTGTTATATGTTTGATATACTACAATATAGTGATATATATTAGACGACAGACGTGATTAATCCAGAAAACGGACATCACATAAACATGCACAACAAATTTTACAGGACAAGTACCTGCGTGTCCCTATTGAGTCCTTCGGGTACTTCGGTTAGGCCGGCCGCCCCACATTCGGCAGTCCGTTTCCCGTTTGCCCATTTGCAAAAACATCCTGTTGGGCACTCCTCCTCAGCGACGACTGCCACCACTCCGACCACGTCTTGGCTGCTGCCGCCTGATAAACCACTTGACGTTAATGGCTGTTTGTCTTCCTTATTGACGCCTAATATTTCACTGTTGTCTACGAGCGGTAGCAAGATTGGCATCCCATTGGCGCCAGTTAACGTGCTTAGGGCGGCTGACGACGCAAATGACAGCAGAAGAACCCAGAGCGCGATTATAAATGGGTCTACACCACCTGGTCGCCATTTCCGCAGCGAAGACAAAGGAGCCGGCTGCGTTGCAACAATATCTAAACGGGTAGGCACTACAGCCGAATGTGACGACGTACTCCAGCAGCATCGACGTCGAATAAGGGCGGACACGTGCCGATCCTCTCGCGTCGACATCGCCCCTGAAGGTAACACCGCGCCTCGCACGTATCGTAGAGGTTCACATCACATAGACATCGAAGTAACGCTTACGGAATGAGCTACCTCAATTGAGGCTCCACTTTGTCTCCTGGCCGCGGCTTGACCAAGGGCGTGAGATATTTTATTGCTTATGGTAGTGGATGTCTCGTATAAGACTGCTCTGCCGATAGTCCGCTACTGACCGGAGGGTGATTGTAGAGCTGGAACTGTAATTCAGCCGACGGGCCGTACCGACGGATGTAACGGGCATTGCTAATTTCAACAAAGTTGAATTTGTTTTGATCGAGTTCATCATCATACAGTATGGAATTATTATCGATGAAAATCTGAAAAAGCATCTGCAAAGCAGCCAACGGAAAAAACGCAAAAAGGCTAAATGCATGTTTTTATATATATGAAATCGTATTTGATAATAGGCTTATTATACATAAATATATATATATATAATGTATTCTATAAATCTAAAAAAAAAAAAACAAAAAGAACCGCAAGATCTGTGGCCACCTATAGCAGACATCATGAAGCTTGAGAGGGCAACAATGGCCACTGTTGAAGCCGCTGTCCTCCTAAATTTGACCAATTACGCTGACGCTGTGTGTTATTATTTGCTGTTTTATTCGGTACAAATTGGTGCCGTTCAGTATTTTGGCTTCCGGGCAAAACCTGCTGCACGCTCAAGTCGCTTTCTCCTGGCATGACTTCGACCGCACGATGAGCTGTTGTCGTCATTTATCGGCTATTCCTCGCCCTAATTCAATGCAGTACGCTGGAACCTTTTTTCCAGAGCACCAGCAGAATGCTGGAAAAACCCATAACCGCTCTGCATATATAGTTTTTTCTCTCGACAAAAAAATGCTCTATTTTATAAATCGCTCTCTCCGTATCGCCGCCGATCCACTAAGGCACGCTCTCAGTTAAAGGTTGCCCGGCTCATTCGTTTGACTATCCGTAAAGCTATAACAGTGTGACGGCCGTACTGCGACGTGCATATGTGACTGTATAAACAATTTTAACCTATTATCCATACCGTGCTGAGAAGCCTTTTGATTTATCTAAGTAATATTTACTGTTACGTAAATTGTATTGTGTTGTAAACATGTACATGAATCTCAAAGATTCGAGAACAGTTGACAATTAGACAAACTATTATTATTATCATTGTTAATAACAGAAGTTCTTCCACTTATCAGGCGCCAAAGTATGAGACATAAAAGAACCTGCATTCAACGTCTTGAGTACCCATTTGATTTCTTCTTCTTTGAAAATCTCTTTCACTATCAGGATTCATGCTTTTTTTTTTCTGCTTTCTGAAAAACTTCTGCCGCCTTTTAAACACCCGTATTTTACTAATGTTGCCCAATAAATTTTACAACACCATTATCAACTGTGCTCTTCAAGAAGATCAATCTACTAAACCCTAACCTTTTCTCTTCAACCATCATCACCTGTAATGCGTGCATCTTTCTGTCGATATTTTCAAAGCTTCGCAGACCTCTCCTTTTCTTTTGAACTTTTTGCTCAGTTCAGTGGAGTAGTTTTGAAATAACGCGGGCTCTAGCTAGCGCTCGGCTGTTGAGGATAATTCAAAATTAAAACTGCCGTAAGCAACTAACAATACAATGTTCGTATCGCACCGCAAAACGGTATCTTTTCGAATGCTTCACAATGAACAAAAATTTCGCAAGGATATTTCGTAGACACGCGAATCAGTTAGCAAGTCGATTGTGGACTGCGCACCCGTAAGCACCCAGCCCTAGGTTTGCTTTGTCCAGAAATTCTTGCCGCAACAGTTTTACCAAAACTAACGCAGCGACGCAAACTAAAATATAATGTCCCAATGATGATGGGCGTCGTGCCCTTTTTGCCGCGGGTGCCCCGTGCAGTACAGATGAAGACGTTTCGTACACGTCTTCGTCTCTCAGCACGATGTGAAAACAGAGACACATGGGAAAAGAACGATAATGCTACTGCTTCTGCCGGCCTCTTCTGCAGTTGTTTCCCCTTTCCAACGATGGATTTTCTCGTCTAGCATATGCCTTCTTCGCCATAAACCCCCTTTCCAGAACCTCCTTGACGAGTCCGAGGAGAATATGAAGAAAACTGAGTCCTTCCAAAAACCTCTTTGTAACGAGTGCACAACTTTTTGTGCTCTGTCTGTCTGTTCGTATTTCAATGTGTAAAAGAGCCTCCCTTTCCCCATTTACCCAATGAGACTCTAATCGTCCAACCCGGAACGCAGCTTCATTCGTCGACGTGCTCGCTTTTATGCGCCGCGCCACGCACTACTCACCCAATCACAGTTACGGTGAAGACCCGCTGGACACATTTCGTATTCGTGTGCTGATCTAGTGGAGAAGACTGATCTGATGAGAGCTTCATGGACTTGTTCGGCCGGGCCCACTGCCCTCACCATACTACTGTGCGTGTCTATCAGGGCGGGTTCTGTCGTCTCTTCTCTACTTAAAACAATGTCTTTCTGACATTGCGCTGTTGCAACAGCGATCACTGTCAATGCTGCCGCTCCACTCACTACATAATTATAATGGTCGCAAACTCTGCAGGATGCTCCACGTGGTGTAACTGTTAGCATAACAAAATGCCGTATCTTTGTTCTGAGCCCATTTCCGTTGGCCTTCTATTCTTATCTTGCCTTGTTGCTTCATCTATTATATATTTACGTGGTCGCCCTCTCGGTTCTTTCTTGGGGTGTCTTCGCCCGATTATTGCGGGACCCCCGCTATCGCTGTCAATCGTGTAATACCACAACAGCATCCCTTTTCCCGTGTTTGGTTAACTCTCTTTCTTTCTGCCTGTTCGGTCCGAGGCGTCCTACGTAAGTACTGGATGCAATGCGGTGACTGGGGTCTTTGCATGCGACACAGCGATCACAAGGCAAAGATCCATTGCGGACAGAAGTAGAGGGTTTAGATCGGACGGCGTAAGAGAAAGGTTTCATCGCGTGAGACGCGCAGGTCATTCGCGGAGCCGCCTTCTCTCTAGATTAGCGAATGTTAGCAGTGATTCGATGAGGGGCGGTCGCGCGAAGGAGACGACATGGTGCCTTAAGCTATGTTCAGCGAAGGGCGGGACCATTCTGGAAGCTGTGGGGGATTTTTGTCGCTATACCTTTGAATGCACTGTATTACTAGAAGCATGCCTTACTGTTAGGCGCTAGCGCGAAGTATTTCAAAATATGGATTTAGAATCAACATGCGAGGAGGATGACACCATTCGCCCCACATACTCATTTACAAGGCTGGACTCTTTAATTTGGGCAAACTTTATTTGTGATGGGAGGCATCCGTCCATCCGCTAACCTTGCTACTTGAAGGACGTAAGAGCACAACAGCAAGCTCATCATAGCAAAAAAAACGGCGCGGCGTCTTCGCACCTTTAACGAAGATTAGCTGTTATTTAATGTCATCCTTCATTAATTAATGGACCCTCATTAAGGTAGAAAATTTCTTTTTGTGCTCGAAGCTTCTGAAACTCCTAAATAAAGTTTGTATCCGAAGAGCGAAAGGAAATTCATCTAAAATGGCATTCCTGATATGCCTGATCTAAAAAAAAACCTCTAGGTCTTGCTACATAGAAATCAACGGCTGTTTTGGAGAGCAGGAGAGTGATTGCCCGCTATTTACTTGAACTTTGATTCGGCTAGAATTTTTTCGGTATAGAAGTTTGAGGGGTACTTCGCCAAGTTTACGATAACCAATATAGCTCTACGAATGGTTACAAAAACAAGATGATTTGCAAATTAAAAAAAGGAGCACTTTGAAAATGACTAGGTAGTGGTCTAAATACCGAACTGAAATTTTACCGTAAATGGTAGTTATTTTGCATGTACATGACCTTCGGCAATAACAATTCGTTGGAATATATGTTTTTGTTTTGAGGCAGGATTAGAAACAACTCATAAGAGAAACCTAGATGCCCCAACCTATAATATATCGAGGTCCTTCCTTAGAAAGGCCTTTCGTTTCGTGTCACTCGAACGCCAACAGGAAAAGTTCAAATACCGACGTGAGTTATAGAGGGGAATTATGGAGCGTTCCTTCAACGAGGTCAGGTATCCAGGCGCAATTCGCCTGACCAATGAATTTTTTAGGTGAATCTTCTTTTGCACAGATTTCAACCTATAGCGATAAAATAAACCTGATGGCCCAATTGAGAAACGTAATTTTTACCAACGATTCACTTGGAGTTCGGATACAGCATCTCGAATGTAGTAAGGTTTCCAAGGTAACGTCTCAACGATGTTCATCAGGTGATCTGCATTTATCGATCATATTGTCTACAAGACTCTGATATGGGCACTTTCTAGTTAGCTTCGCTTGCCTATCGATTTTTTTTTAATATTAAACTGCATGGTAAAATAATGGGAACAAAATTGTTTTGATGTATACGCCCCTATACATAAAATATATATATATATGCAGTGTAGATTATGTAAATATATACAGGCGTTTCTCGGAAGGCCATCGTACCTAAGTATAGCGATAAATTCTATTTTTATCAGTATGAAAATTGTTAGTATTGCAAGCTATTCGTTGTTTGTCCGTGGTGAGGAACACGAAGGAAATACGTTCCGCAATCGATGTTTTGTGTTTATCACTACATACTCGTATGCTGGCTGCCCTCTTACGTCCCCCTACTGTCGAACATTTCGACGGGGACTGAAAAACAACTTGAAGCGACACATATGGTACTAGTACTCCGGAGTCTCACCAAATAATGTATTAAAATATCTATTATAAAATTGTATTATATGCCACCCTTATGGTGCAAGTAAAGAAAAAGAAAAACGACACGTAGGCGTTTATCCACAACGTTTCCTGGCATGATCTAGTGTGTGCGGCAACACTGAATATGTATGATAATAAATTAGTTAACTAATACGTTAATAATAATAATAAGAAAATTAGTTAAAAAAAAATATGCCACTTAGTTATTCGTAGTTCGTTTCTTCTGTTTACCTCTAAAGGGAGAGATTTAGGGAACCGATGATACGAGTAGTGCGATAACTCGTCCACTTCTCCCGATACTCGGTGTCCATCATTGATCAGGCAATCAATTGTAACGAAGCTTATGATTTACAATTCTATATACAGTCGTTCTTCAAGAAGTTAAATGAAGTAGAGCGGACTGCATTCAATACAGTATCTCAAACCGATTCGAACGGTATGATCTCTGCTGGTTTCGATAGGGAAAGTTTAAATAGCACCTTTTTATGTACCTTTATTTATCAGCGGCCAGCCACAAATCGCTTGGCGATGAGACCGTGTTTTACGAGTTACACGTATTTTTAATAGAGATAAGATCCATTCGTAGCAAGGTC